AATTCACTGAAGCTTTATATTTTACATAATGTATTTAAATATAGTCCTAAAATAAAAACCATGTACAGTAGGTACAAATAAACTGCGGCCATAAATAGCGTAAGCTTAGCACAACGCTATCCGGTAAATTAATAATGCATGCACACTCAAAATCGCAACCCTTATGATGGCCTATATCGTTTTCCCCAGACATGTGCTACGAACATTTCCTTACATGTTTCTGGTATGAGTCAAACAGTCGATAATGCGACAGGAAATGTTTCAATGTGTTTCATGGAACAGTCGCCGGTTATTCCCAGCTGAGGCCGGAGCTGAGCACTCAACTTGCTCCGCGATACGTTTCCCGGTTTCGAATTCAATTCCATTTGTTCCGATCATCGGTTCGCATTGGAGATAAAAATCTAATTTGGGAAAACGTTGGCGTCAACAGTTTTTGGACAGCGCATGACATTTGAGATCGGTCGTTGCGATCGCAGCGGTGTGACGCTCTAAGATTGAAACGAGTATGGACATTGAAATGGGTTAACTACAGGAAAGTTAGTAAACCGCTCGGCTGTCATAAAAAGTTACACGATGCTGTACATGTTGCACGAGACAAGAATGAATACTTTAAATCTCCTAGGAGTTACTTTTCATACGAGGAGGAAGTTAAGACAAACATCGAGTAGCTTCATACACTTCGTTCTAGCGTTCAAGTTAACGCTGCGGCGAACTGGTGGAGTGAAATTATGTGAATTTCCAAAAGCCACCTGAATAAATAGTCGACTGTCAAATTTTCAGCTAGAAACTCGGCAGTTTGAAGGCCGTTGTCGCTATAAATCATTAACAGATTGTCGGAATTGTGTTCGAGTCGAAATTAATTGATGGATATAACGACGTGAACTGTGTTCCATCGAGTTTTCTCGGTAACATTGTTTAATAATGTCGTAACAGGCTGTTAATTTATAAGTACTGCTATATTATTATTCATATGTTAGCGTTTTAGGTTGCTTTTAGTGATACCGAATATACATTCGGTACGGACATCGGGAAGATATGCAACCAAATGTATCAAAAGAATGCCTTAACAAGAAATCGTTTACAAAGGAACATTTTAGGGAAAGAAATAGAAGGCGATATAAATATAAACAAAGCAGGACAAATATTAATTGTAACAGCATTGTGACCAAGGAAAATATTACCACGAATGATGAATGATTCGAAACACCGCCCCTTGTCCTATTTCTTGTGTTTAAGTGAAAATCAATTGCACATTTACAATGTGCTAGGGACAACCATAATTTACCTTTAAACCGGTCGAATACATGGTATAAAACGACAGTGCTATTGAACAATTCATAGTATAGTGTATAATGGTCTCTACTTATTTGAAGATGTTTGGTATTCAATTGTACTTTTTTATAATAGGTACTCACTTGTATATTTGATTTGTATTTGTTAAATGGAAAAACCATACAACAACGAAAAACAAAATACAAATATACAAACAGGACGCCCTCGGTATCAAATTCATCGTATTTAATTAGAATAGCTTGTAACAGCTACCTACATTTTCCCCGAAATATTCCAGAGGAATTTTATTTGCCTTCATTACGGTCGTATATCTACAATTTATCACGCAATACCTGGCTAATTTCATTTGGTCCTTTGTCACCAAATAGATTTAGAACCGTCCTAAATATAACTTGTGCCTAATTGAAACACTACCTTATTAAGGCCTTAAGCCTCGTAATCGCGCGGGCCTGCGGACGGCGAGCATGGGTGGCTCCCCGTCCGACCAGAAACAGACCCGAGCGTACGGCGCGTCGCGTTCCGCGCGCGCCTCAAAGAGCCATCAGACCACCACAGATGGGGCCCAATAGGGCCGATGCCGATTCGGAGTCGCGGAGAACCTAACGGGTAACCGGGGCTCCGGCTCGACGTGCAGGAGAAGGAACGGGGTGGTTTTTAGTCAGTAAGAGTCTGACACTCCCTTCCGCCTCACCCAGGCGGGAGCAGTCATTCGATGATTTTCCCCCCTTAAAAAAAAAAAAAAAAAAAAAAAAAAAGCCTCGTATTCACTGAGCAACTATTGTCGCACAACCGAGTTCTACACTATTGCACAACATTGCGCGACGTTGTTGACGCGCAACTTGTCGCGTTTATTTGTTTCGGTGCAACATACTGTTGAGCATCAAATGTCATCGAGTGAAGTGACGTGCAACATAAAAGTGTCGGCACACGCGACGCGACGGTAACCGACGGCTGTGTGTGGCGTCGTCCGTAATATCTAGTACATTACAACTGCCCAGTGTCGTGTCTGCTGTGTGCAGAAACATACCTATAGTTGCTCTGGCGTTTACTATTTATTTTGTGCTCTAGTGGTAGTAGACAGACAATGTTGCTAAACAAAAGTTCCACGTTGCCTGTCCTATGTACAACTACATTTTTACAACGTGTCGCGCATCAAATTTCATCTAGTGGATACAAGGCTTTACACTGAGCTGATAAACAACCTACAACGGGTAGATAAAAAACATAATTAACGGGAAAGCGTAGAGCCAACGCCATAAATAAAACCCGACTCAATATTAGAATATTAATCAAAGCATTACCTTGTACTAAGTTTATTAAACATACTAAAATGCTCTTTAATACTAAAAGCTTTATAACTATTCAGTAAATAGTGGGAGGAAATGTATATTTTAATTAACATGTTTGTTGGTTATATTATGTTGACCTGAATATCTTAGACTTCGGTTATGGCTGATTCTTTCTAAAAAATATCAGAATGTACTTGTCACCCTTATAGGATTTAGAAGGACATATTTCAGCAAGAATTGAGTGATAAGTATTTAATCAATTCAGTCAAGTCAACAGAGAAAAGGTTATTAAGTTCTATTTAAAGAGCAGTTATACAACATAAACAATATCAACACAATAAATAGAAATGTTGTATACAATACCTAGTTACCTTAGGTACACCTACGCTTGTCTCCAAACTATTATCATCCCCATTATAGCCTCCCAAATTAAATTTCCATCAATTAACGTATTCACTTAACATGCCAAACGAGATTATAATTAATACATCAAACAATTAAGTAGTTAAACAACAGCTTGATAAAGTGACACGTAATCCGTCTACGCTTAATTGAACAGGACGTCTGACATTGTGAGTACAATAAAAAGACTCGTACTAAAAAGGTTGGACATTATATAAAACCTTAGATATAGAGGAGACCATTAATCACTTGAGAAAACTTAATTGGATAGCCGCGACAGACAGACACGCGAAGAACGAACGAAATAGTTGGGCATCTCTACTAATAAAAGAGTCTGGCTATTGGATTATTGCAGATTAGTTCTTTTACTTTGGGGCTTAGAGCTTAGAACCCCAAATACGCAATAAAGTCTACCCAAATATGACATGCAGTAAATATGTATGATGAATGGCATTTCAATGTTACAATTGCGTATTAAATCATTTTTATACGTGTCTATTGGCGGGAGGGAGTGTCGGACTCTTACTGACTAAAAACCACCCCGTTCCTTTTCCTGCACGTCTCACCCAGGCGGGAGCACTAATTCGATGATTTTCCCCCCTTAAAAAAAATCGGTATCAGCCCTATTGGGCCCCATCTAATGGCTCCTTGAGGTGCGCGCGGAACGCGACGCGGCGTACGCCAGGGTCTGGAAAAGTCTGGTTCTGGGGCCTTACTCTTGAATCCAATTCCGATCGATCGACATTGGTATTGTGAAATTTCGTACTCTCGAGATGCAACACTAGCGCCCATTGCATCCGTATTGCATGGATATTAAATGAACTAAATGGTATTAAGTTTGGCTTTATATTCCGTACCCTGAATGCTATTTTAACAGCTACGATAAGGGTTGTATAGTTTTGACATTGAATAATTATTGAGATTTTGTTGGATTGAAATAGCATTGACATTGAGATTGGTTTCAAGAGTAAGCGCCCTGATCGGGCAACGAGTCGCCCGTGCTCACCATCCGTGGCCCGCGCTTATCGCGATCCCCGACATCCATAGTATTATGCCCCTAAAAACCTGTACCTATGTTTGTATACCTGTAACGTCAATGTTTGTAAATAGTAACGCCATCTGTTGACCAACTTGAACTTAAACACATATAGTAGTTATTTCTTACGAGTTATTGAAATATTGTCTGTAAAATTATAAAGCTAAGATATTTACTATGAATATAATTTTAAAAGACTATCGTGTTACCTATTTAAAAAAAATATACCTAAAGAATGTATTCGTTACATTCCTAATCCTAATCAGTAAATTCAAAGTACTTATTACCGAGAAGACAACATGTTTTTGAGACGAAAATAAGTAAATAAGTACTAATGGTATCTTAGTCTATCTGACATTTTTTTTCTTTATTCAATAAAATCTTACTTTATACCATTTTCTGAATAACAAAGAAAATTTAACTTAATTAGCTCTTTGGTTGCCAGAGACCATATTACTCGTCTAGACTACAACAAAGGCCTAATTATAATTAATTAACGAAAACGAAGTTAATTATAATTAATGGTTTTTGTAACCTTAGCGCCCCGTAGCGTAAGAAATGTCATGGCTCCTAAATCTTATGTGGTAGGTACAAAACAAAACAAACCATAAAGAAAAGTAATAGCTTTCTAATTGGATACGCTCGAAAACTTTGCCATAATGTGTGTCTTATATAATTACCTAAGAGTTTGTAAGTATATCATGAATCACGATTTTTGCCCAAGCAACGTAACGTTTGCGGAACTACGCACGTTACCTTGCCTACAGACCAACAAACCTTTTTATTGTTACGAAATCTTTTTAAACCAGCATAATTTTATTAAAATAAAGTTCAACTGCACTTTTGGTGTCGTGTCTATATTCGATTTCAACTGATTCTGCGTAGATATGTTAAATTAGTTGTAAACTCATCTATAACCCAGGAAAACTGAAACTTCCTAGTCTCACGCAACGTCTTTACAAAGATAAAAATGGACTCACCTGTCCATGATTATAGAAGCCGTGCCTCCTAGCGATGTCATCGACGTGGTGCGGGCCGGCGGGCACGTGCACCGCGAACTGGTCGTGGTACACCGGCTCCGGGAGCGCAACGCACGCGTGCAGCGCCGCCAGCAGCGCCAGCGCGCGCCATGACGTCACCATGACAGTAACCACTACACTACACAATCACAACCGCATCTGCGACCCACCGACACAATAACAACCGCGCGTTCCAACTACTCAGTCCTTGTCATAAGGAACACCCACGCACTTTTATCAAACACTCCAACTAATTATTTCCCGAACGTCTTCAGTGTTGACCTAGTCGAACACTGTGTCATCCCACCTCGTTATACCTGCAACAAAAACGATTAAATTAGGCTTTCACGTCGAACAACTTAATTAAAAGGATCTCTGTAATTGTAATGTGTACCCACGCTTCCGAACACAAAAGGTGCTTGAGAGATATTAAATTTTAATAAAGAGTAACTCCCGCGGCGGGCTCCGCTCTTCATTTAGCATTATTTTTTACGTTCGAACGAACTCCATAAACATAAAGGGGAATTTAGGGTGCGATAAACATATTTGGCGAAGCGCGGGCGGCACCACGGCAAATCACGCGCCAGATAAAACGCAATAAGCGGACGCACAAACGCGAACAAGTTAAAAAAATCCGTGGGAAATCCCGAGATAATCCAGATAAGCCACGCGGGCAAAGTATGAAAAGCCTGACCGTGAATATATCAAAAATATTTATGAAATTTTATTTGAAAATTTATCTGACGTCCGTTACGAGTGAAAGCAAAACCTTTGAGCAAAATTCTTTGTGTCCCCTGCTACCGCCGGTTTGCCTTTGTCGGCCTGTCTTTCTATTTTATAGCTGTCTTTGTGAATAAATTAAAAGGCACTGGAAAGATAAAATCGAGAACCATTTATTCCGTTAATTATCTTTTACCTGAACATTTCCCGTACTTAATAGGTTGAGCAAAAACGAAGTGACTGCATTAAAAGAAGGAGGTACATTTTCTCAAAGTAATCTTTGTAAGATCGCAGCAACTTTGTAGCACTCGTATAAGGCAACAAGTAATTCCACTCACAACTAAGCAAAGCTTTTTCTCACGTGTATTTCCACAAGTGCCCGAGGGTGCAATAAAAACAATTTAACTTGTTTACTTCTGACTTCGAAGCAGGCTAAAAACTGTCTCCGGAGACAATACTTAGTTGCTTTAAAATATTTACTTAAATTACATTTAAAAGTTTGTTGTTAAATATTCGCTTACTACACAAACTGCACTAGTTATGTGTATTAAATATGAAATGTGTTAAAGAAAAACTTCTAGTCGTAATAATATGGTTTACATGCACTTAAGTGAAGTAGAAGAAAATATAGTAAATAATAACTGTCAAAATAATCACGAATGGAATATAATAGAAATCACTTCAAACATAAAAAAATGTAACTACCTAACCTCAAAATTTGGACATGTTACATCGGTTGAAGATTACAAAACAACTAACGCAAGTTTGCACAAAAGATCTGCCAAAATGCAAAATTTATAATTGAAAAATGACAACAAAGATAGTAACTTATTATATAAAGATATTAAACAACTACACATGCATACAGCACAGCAACAAGCCTGTTTCTCTTTGGGGTACTAGCTAGACAATGAAAAATAAAATTAAAATACAAAAAGGAAAAATATTTATTAAAAAATTTAGATCGGTCTCTAAACCGCCAAAATTGATTTTAAGCCGCTTTCCAATAAAAACAATCCATCAATATGTACGGGAAACCGGTAAACATGTATCAAAACAAACACGTTAACGTAATATGTATGTATGTGAAATATTTAACAGAGTCAACGAATCAATCAATCATTTATATCAATAACAGTAATTGGAAGTTTATTTTGATACCGTACAACCGTTGCGGAACATATTCGGAATCAAGCTACATGCATCGAAAATTCGAAACATGCTCGTCATTTATACATAACACATGCCAGCCATGTTTGAATGTCATGAAATTGTTACCTTTGACGTGAAACGTTTCAAATTAATGAAATTTTATTAATTTTATAGTATTGCAAACAACTTGAATACAAGCATGTAAATAAAATATTACAAATGAATTATTGTAGGACGTTTCCCGGTTTTGATTATGCGAGTTGTAAAGTAGCGTAATATTTTTTAATTACATATACGCATACATACGTTATACTCTTCATTATGCAATTACAAAGGAGACTCAAGCAAGATGTACGTAAAAATAATATAACAATTGAGATTCAAAAAAACATAGCTAGGCTTTTTAAAAAGCACCCGTAAACTGTAAAAAACTCCTTCAATACAAAAATATCGTACTGAAAGGAAATCTAACCTAAAAATATAGCCGTTTCACCTCTTATAAAATGTAACCTGCATACCGACATACGACTTTGTAGGTAAAGCAATTCAATCAAAGCAAACTTGTACTTCTTCATGCACCTTTCACTCGAAGGAAATAATATTATATATAATATATATATACAATATATTTTTATTCTTGTATCGAGATGCTTTGAGGGTTTCGTAAGAAAATGGGTTCCACTGAAGATATCGTGTATATGACAATATGCTGCAGCAGGATATTAAGGTCCTTGAATCATGTTTTGAATCAAAAAGTTTACTTTCCTATATACAGATAAAAAGACAGATAAAAAAATGCATAACAGAACAAAAAAGGTATTGTAATTCATATTCTCAATTCGACAAAAAAATTAGGAATACCTATTTTAAATTCGGTCTCAAATCTACGTTAGAGGAGTTCTTCTATTCAGCACTCTTCATATTCCTCTACCAATCAGGATCAGTAATTAACTTAGATATCAGTGTTTATATTATTGCCGTTTGTGGGGGTCCAGAAAATATGAAATCTACATCAACACGACATCAGTAGAAGGGTGTTAAGTTGTATTTTTATCGCATCACGCGTTCACCCTTCGGGGTAATATTTAAAAGGTCTCGAGGTCGTTCGAATTAATTTCGGCCATAGCGAGGATAATTTCATTAGCCTGGGTAATCGGTACATTGCGGGGTCCGGGTGTACTCAGTATTTACGACTTAATATCGCGCGAACGTATTTATTCAGATTACTTACTTGTTCTATTACTCTTTATTGATCCTTTAAAATATAAAGGGCATAAAACCTTGACTGGTGTATATTAATCGTGTTATGGATGACAGTCACTTCAAGTAAAATCCCCCGAACCTTACCTTGATCCGAAACACCAAAAAATTGAACTGAAGAAAAAACAAGAACATTTAGTAAAATTGATGTTTTTTTTTAATGTGTAGTTACGTCACCCCTCGTTGTCTATAACATTATCCTTTTCATCTCATTTTCGTAAAACTCATCTGCCGTAATGACAAGTACCATCAAGTGACGTTAACAGCTGTAAGACGTCACTTTTGCAATGCCATAACACAGATATTTAATATCCAAAGCAATTTGCCTCATACGAAATGGTTCAACGTAACTAATTTTACGTAAATAGGTTTATGTTTTCACGGTTTCTAACGTTAAATAATAAAAAAAGAATACGGAATTAAGTTTCGCGTTTTTCCTTAACCAGAAAATGTCATTTCATTCGTATTTTCTTGATCAAATTTTTCCTGTATTCGAGAAACCGAATTTGGAGTCCAAATAAAAATTAGAGACATCAGATAAGTCAAAGACATTACCGTAATGAATCCAGTTACCAATTTCGTTGAGCAAGCATTGAAAATGCCTACACATCAGGAGTTTATTAACGTGACAAGTGAAGCGGCACATTAATAATAAGCTGTGCCATGGATTCCTCGGGGCGCCTAAATCTTAGCGCCGAACACTTCAATAATTAGCCGGTTATTCGCAGCAGTCGAGCATCGCGGCATGAATAAAACATCGTTTGCGAAACACAAGTGCCATTATAACGTCCAATCTAACACGACCTCCCGCCCCTTCCTTGTGCTGGCAGTGTAGAACAACTAAAGGGTTGAGGGGGTAATATTGGCAGGTCAAGGTGATTTGGTCATGATTTACGGGGCCTTCGAGTGCACGGGCCAAATCAAACAGGCACCGTGCAAATAAACGGTGACGTGGCTAACATCGACCGCTATTACCGATAGTGGGATTAATTACTATGCATTCGTAGCTTATATGATACAGGAATATAATTCTGTAATAACTCAAGTAATATTAAGTATAGTTGATAAGTAAATTGCTGCACATAAACATCGGGACGTAGAGGAAACATAAAATAGTAACGATTCTGATTGCAAAGTTTCCTTATGCGATGCCACTAATGACCCATGATTACGTAATAATATACCACAACTTCGTGGTCGGTGTTTTTGTTCGAAGCTGAACTATTCATTATGGAAAAAACTTGTATACTAACATAAAGAATTATAGAGTAAACAATTAATGTATCATTGTTACAGTGTTTTTAAGAAAGTGTATTTAGCACATTAAACGTCATGGGGGTTAACCGGTGGCCGACGTCAGTAGAGGAATTGCTTTCAACAGTTTGCTATTAGTAGTAGAAGACCATAATTTATGTATTTATATTACATACAAAATGAATTAAGTCCTCTCTAAAGGTTAATATAACGTCGCACGTTAGTGAGTAGAGGGGCACTCATGCTTGTAATGTAAGACCGATTTAGATGTGTTTATAAGAACACAATGTAATCCAACCTGGCAAGCACTACCTCATACAAGTTCATTGCAATTCTGCGAAATGTTTAGCTAAAGCCAATAGTTCGTGTGTTAATTGTAAACTTCAGTCGAGCTGGTTGTACGTAAAAGCGCTGTATATTATCGATAAAGTTTCGCTGTATCGGCTCTTTCGTAATCGAATGCATCGAACGAGAACTGTTCGCGTTTGTATATGCACTTTATTGCACATAATATGTATGTAAAATATGCAAGTTAGCTTCTCGTATCGAAGGTAAAGTGCATACGTACATCAAACTATACAAAACTAGTTTAATATGGTCTCGCTTTGTGTAAACTTTCCATACATCTGTCGGTCAATTTATACTGGTTTAGTATAGTTTGATATGTAGCCAAATAAAAATTGGTTTTAAAAGACTAACGAATATACGCAATTTCTTGCCCGTTCTTCTTCACTCGAATCTACTTTTGGAAGGAGCACCACAGATGGACAGGCCGACAGACTATTATTTATTTTATATATGTTGACGTTTCAAAAGTACCGAATTGTGGTTTAATTGAAATAAGTTATTGAGTTTGAGTTTGATGAAATTAGAATCGAATGGTTAGATTCATCGTTTTAAAATATCGAAGATTTCGTTGTCATGACTAAAA